TTTAAAATAATTATTTAATATAAATATAAGTAATAAATTAATATAAATATATATATATATATACCAATGTAATATTTTTTTTCTCGAGTAACTGCATTTTTATTATTATCGACTATGTTTATTACTTTTTACTTTGGTCATTGTATTTCCTGAGAAAGCATTAGCGTACAGCGGATTTTTCAATCTATGTGAGTAGATATCTCTGTAAGGCTGGTTGTTTTTAACAATATCTCGTCAATGGCTATGATCATTATAATTAACAATTAATCAACTTTTGGTAAACAACGCATAATTGTATCGCTATGGTAGGCCTTTATCGAAACTCATATTTCTCGTGATTTACTAATTTATTATTTTTAATACGAATCAAAGCAACAAAAATTAAAATTATAAATTATGAGCGCAGCGCACATTAATACGTCGATTTTCAGTGTGCCGCTTATGATTTTCGAGCACAATTTTTCTTTTCGACTTTAACTTTTATTCATTTGCAATAATCCATCATTATACGCGCAAGATTTTCTTTTAGTTCGAATTCGCGTGAGGTATGCTGGGTAATGCGTCGCACTAGAAGTCAAACGAGCGTCCAGATCGTAATCATAATTCCTGCCTTTTTCCCGCAAATCTGTCCGTCTCGTTTTACAACTCCAATATATTCTGTCGAAATAAATACAATTTTTGCATTCTTGCGCGATGGCTAGGAATGAATTTCCCCTGAGATGTCCTGAACATACAATCGTCAATGCGACTTGCGCGGTGCCAACAGGTTAGAGGAGCGAGCGCCACATTGCTCAGCGTGTTGGCCACCGCGCGCGTGACGTTTCCACGGCGAAGCGGCGTGGCGTAGAGTGGCCCGGTTTCCGCGGCGAAGCCACCGAAGTCTGTTCTGTCGTGCCGCGTTCGCCGTGCAGTGAACATACGCTCGTCTGGGACAAAATGGTCGCGGTGAAGGGACGCAAGAGCTCCAACAAGAATCCGCCGATACTGAGCCATGAATTTGTCATACAAAACCATGCAGACATCGTCTCCTGCGTGGCTATGGTCTTCGTGATCGGCTTGATGGTGCAGGTCGGTTTCTGATCTGTCAATTTTCTTCGGACGTTTGCGTGGCTACCCCGATTCCCTCGAGTGAAACGATTTGGAAAATAACTGTATTTGCATGAATCGTTCACATTCAAGCTTTGTCTCTCTGTATCTTGCATTAGATTAGAAAAATTTCAAGAAGTTTGAGAAATAGGATGACCATATGTTAGATTGTTAATGTTAATTGGGACTGCTAGATACTTTAGTAAACATTTGTTTATAAGATTTGTGAAGACATTTTGTACTCCTAAATAGTATTCTAATTTATCATTCTTTAAATATCATTATAAAAAAAATATTGTGACATATATTCATATATATAAAGATTATTTAATATTACATTTATAACTGTATTATGTTATTAGACAAAATTACTTTGGAGATTCTATATTATTAATCTTGGAAAAAAAGATTATCAGTAAAATGTCTTATTAGAATGACTAAATTATTCTTACAGCTGTGCGTTTCTCCCTAGCTTTATTATTTTTGTTACATCAAATTTATCAAATATAATTATTTTCTTTCAGGTTACTTCGCCATGGGCATATTTGTTTATTGCTATTCATCATAATGTGACTAACACCACTGAAAATCCAACAGCATTGATAAAGTATGCTACAGGATGGAAAGACGCCTGCGCAGTATTCTTTTACTTCTTGATAACCATTATAATGCATGCAGTGCTTCAGGAATATATATTTGATGTAAGTAGTAATATATAAGATACCTGTCGAATATGAAATATACTGATTTATATTATAAAATGTTAAATATTTCAAAACGGTAAAATTCAATTAATTCTTGTATTTAGCTATCGTTTTTCTCGGTACATTATTATTAAGATGCTTGTCATTCTTGTCATTTGAGACACGATTAGATGAATTACTTAAACATTTAACAAGATGATATCAAATATTCGTGTCTTCTATCCTCTTCTAAAATATCTATAAAATTTTATTTTTATATTTTTTTGTTAACGCGGAAATCTATTCTATATATATTAAAATTATTATATTTTCCTATAGTTTTAATCACGTATTGTCGATTTTGAAAGTACCTGTCAAATATGAAATATACTGAGTATAAAAATGCATTAAAGTTTGTTACTGGAAAAATTTATTTTTCTTCACAGAAAATATCCAAACGTCTCCATCTCAGTAAAGTCAAACTCTCTAAATTTAACGAGTCCAGCCAATTGATAGTATTTTATACATTATCTGCATTATGGGCCATTGATATTATCATCAGGTAACATAGATTTTAATTATAAAGAGAAATCTTCATATTTTATAATTTTCAATTTTGGATAACAAATTCTTCAGACACAAATATATTAAAAGTGTAACGTTTTTCTTTTAGGGAAAATATGCTTTTGAACATATGGGCATTGTGGGAAGAATACCCAGCGCCAATGTCTTTCTCCTTGAAATTATTCTTTATTGGCCAGCTTGCTTATTGGTTACATTGTTATCCCGAGCTCTACTTCCAACGAGTCAAGAAAGAAGATATCCCACAACGTATTCTCCATGCAACTATTGGATTATTCTTTACATCTGCGGCTTATTTCTTTAAGTAATTATTATATAATAATGTCCTATGCATACTTTTTTCTTAAATTTTTTTCCCCAGTTTATAATAAATATTTATTTTTTGCAGTTTCCAACAATTAGCAGTAATTTTGTTGACTCTCCATTATGTGGCAGATGCCTTGTTACATGGAGCCAGATTGGTTCACTTTATTAGTCAAAAGGAGAAAAGAACGAAATGTAAGTTACCTTTGCCAACAGTTGAGTTATTGTGTTTATATAACATGAACTCTAAATATATTTATATGATGTTTACAGTATCATTCCTCATCGCTAATTCAACATATGCGTTCGCACGCCTTGCGACCATCGTACTTACGGTTGTTGTATTTTTGTACGGTTTGAGAAAGCTGGAGTTCAATTTCGACTATGACACCGGCAATTTCAATACTCCTGCCGTGCAATTCTCGGCGGTATCTATTATTTCGCTCTTCCAAGCTTACCTCCTGTACTATTTCATCGCGAAGCAAATTAAGCGCGCGCGTGAGAATGCTGCGCCCGTTGTCGTTAAAACCAAGCCGAAACAAAAGCTGAGAAAGCGAGAAGGTGAGGACGATTTCATTTTATTTAAATTTTTATTATTATTTTATGTTTTATTATTGATTTTATCTATGTGGAGTGTCAAAATTTATTTTTGGAATTAAGACATGCGTATATTTGCAGGTAAGAAATCCGCCTTATCCGAAGATGACGATCTTCCGGAGGTAGATCAGGCGACGAAGAAAAATCTAAGAAATCGTCCCTCAGCCAAAGCAAAATAGACGGATTAATAAGAGGTATCACCGATAAGGCTGATTGGATTTTACTCATTTGTATGTCATGAATATGTCAGAATGTGTGACGACTAGGACATGCAAAAATGCAATCGTTTCTCGTAATAAAGAAATGTGAAGCTTCCATAGTGCTACTATTTAAAATTATGTCATGCAGAGTGCAGAGATATCTGATACCAGGCTATGTACTCGATAAATATATAAACGTGAATTTTAAATATTTTATAAAAGTGGTTGTGTGCGTGATACTATGATAGGCGGATATTTTTGTTCTTTTTATTCGCAAATTTCTTTATGATGTTTTCGTTTTTATATGAATTGAAGATAAATGTTACATTCACATAAAATCATAGAAGATTGATATATATTTTGGTATGTTGTCTTTTTATGCGCGTTGCATGTTTGTGTATTTTCCAAGTACATCAACGCGCACTATTTATAAACCAATTAAGATAAATTTTTACAATTTCATCTGTTATTTAAAATTCTTAATAGGTTTTCTTTGTGCATTGCTTTTTTGGTAAGTTTAGAGTTAATCGATTAGAATAGACTTGTCCAAGTTTTCACTTTCGAATTTCGTTTTCTTCTCCATCTCTCTGAATGAAACGGAGAAGAAATAGAAGAGATAAAACATCCTGAGTTCCATTTAGATGATAAACTTGGACAAGTCTTACTGTTGTATTGGATTATTTCTAAACTAGAATGTGCAAATAATCGAATAGAAGTAAATTTATTATACTAGTAATAAGTTATAAGAAAGAAATACACATAGAAATATTGTATGAAATAATTTCTGGACCATAAGTCTTATAAGAATCATGTCATAGAAATATACATATCCTATTATGGAATTATATTGTTACATTTAAATACAAGTTTTATGACTATTTTTTAATACATATATCAATAAAAACAAATAATCTTATTATTTTAATATTGCATAATAAAAAAGATGATATTTCTTTAAAATTATTATAAAACAGAAAAGATAAGTGTAGAAAAAAGGAAACAACTTAGAAAAGCATTTTTCCATTCATATATATACCTTAATATGCATTTAGTCAAAATATACAACTAATATTTTGAAATTTATGTTAATTATCTTATTACATTAAATTTTATTTAATTTAAAAAATTATTCAAGATGTTAAATTTTTCAATTTTAATTCTCTATATGTATACGCGATAATAGCTATTCTTTTCATAAGAGAGAAAGAATGCAGAGGACATTCTCTTTCTCTCTCTTTCTCTGTTTTACCAGTCCGGATCCACGCGTTTCGCGACGCGCGGAACGACGGAATCGCGTATACACACAGACACACACTCGAAGACGAAGTGTCGTCGCGACGGTGACGACAGTGTAGTTGTTCCCATATTCTTTTCATAAGAGAGAAAGAATGCAGAGGACATTCTCTTTCTCTCTCTTTCTCTGTTTTACCAGTCCGGATCCACGCGTTTCGCGACGCGCGGAACGACGGAATCGTGTATACAATACACACAGACACACACTCGAAGACGAAGTGTCGTCGCGACGGTGACGACAGTGTAGTTGTTCCCAGTGCAGTAGCCGTAATCGCGGAGAAGATATGGAAAGATGTATCTGAAGCGTACGTCCAAGTTGTTGGATCTGTCGTCGCGGGCCACCGCGGAAGTGCATCTACGCGATCTTATGTGCCCGGTGTGCCGTGGGATATTAATCGAGCCAGTGACGCTGCCGTGCACACATAACCTCTGTCTGCGCTGTCTTAAGGGTACGTTCGAGCACAACAGTTTGAGCTGTCCCCTGTGCCGGGTCCGGGTGGGCTCGTGGCTACGTAACGCGACCAAGTCGGAGACCCTGGTGAACCACGGCCTCTGGGAACTCATCAGGGCCAAGTTCCCGAAGGAGGTCGAGAACAAGCATAATGGCGAGGAGGGGGATCTCAGCTTGGACGCTGGTAAGTGACGCACACGCTCATATACACACACACGAGCGCGCGCGCGCGTCACAGCAATAAACAAATATAACATAACCTATCGTTGCAGTGGCGGTGAGTTTCACTTGTATTTTCTACCGACACTTTGTATATTTTTCTTCGAAATGATTCGTACGGATTATGTAAGCTATTGGTGCCTTCGGCGTTATTATGTCTTTACATGTGTACGGTGTCACTTTCTTCAACTTTCTAAAACCTTGCTTTGTTTAATAAGAACAATAATAAGAGCGTTAACGACTGTAATTATTCTTTACCTATTTGTTGTTTGAATGTAAAGTGATTATAATTGCGAAATACGTGGCGCTTTTTATATCAAATAGGATGATCTTGTTACAAGTTATAAAGGAAGAGTATTTTCCTTTAACACACAGATTATGCAACAAAAAGAATACTCAGCGCAGCTGGAGAAATACACAGGGAATATGAGGCGCAACTTCAAATGGCCGAGGAAGAAATGCGTCGCCAGAGACAAGCCGAACAGATAGCCAGCGAGGCGTTGATACAGAAAATTCGGGTAGAAGAGCAACAACTATTGTTGGCTCAATTGGCACAGGATCAATTGCTAGCCAAGACCTTGGCAAAGCAGCAGGTTGTGAAGAAGCACAAGGAAGCTACAAAGTGTTACAATCAATGTTTAAACACATCGGTATCGAATTATGTTCTCGACGCGTCCAGGTTTAACACTAAGACTATGCTTGTAAATAATGTCGAAACGCCACAAACCGAAGCTGCACACTTGGAAAGCAGGCAGATGAGTCTTCCCGAGTCTGTCAGCGACAGCACAAAACCAAGACAAACGAATACGACACTGTTATCTAAAATCGAGACAATATGTTCCAATATATATGGCTCTAATGAGGCAAATGCATCCAGTATGCATAAAGTTTCACTTAAATATTGTTGTCAGAAACAAATACCAGTATATAATGCTGTCACAAAAACGTTAAAACATAAAACAGTATCCAAATTCACCCAACCTTGCACTTCGAATTATTCCACGGATCCCGGATGTTCCACATCCAAAGCTTATATGACGGAGACTAAAGAAGAGTTGCGCGTACCGAGCGATGTGGTGAACAGCAAAAAGAAGAGTTTAGGGATAGAGGTGTGTATGACGTTGGCTGATGATGACGAAAGAATAGGGAGTGCTGAGAGTTCGGGCAGTCATGACAGCATAAATCAGGAGATTCATCATTTCAAACCGATCAAGACGGTACCGAGAACGAAATTAAAAGTTTCTTCAGGTATATATCTATCAGAGAAAGAAAGAGAGAAAATGTAGTACCTATATTTTTTTAATGTGATAAATGTTTACATAGAAAACATCTTTTTTTGTTCCCAGATGGGAAACAGATAGATCCGAAATTGATTAGAGTGATTCCTGTTTTAAAGAAAACGTTTAATGCAGTGCCAAAACCTCCATCGCCGACACACATGAAACGTATAATTGGATGTTCTTGGAGCGCCTTCAGAGGTAAATTATAGGCGTTTACACGCGTAAAACGTTATTTATGCATGAACAATTACTTAATTAAGACTATGCAAATATGGGTTATTTAATTTAACCGTTTAATGATTCTATTACAGGTAGAATAAAACAGGACGCAAAACAAAAGCAAGCTGCGCACAATCTAGAGGAGACGCTAATCGATCAGCAACCGTCGACGTCCCTCGACCATTCTCAAACGGTTTCGAATAAGTCGATGACAAAACCTCAAACAAACGACGTTATCCGTCGACTTGATTTTGTGCCCGAACCATCATTCGACAGCAACAAAAATTATACGAAGAACGCAAACAAAATAGTTAATGGCCTTAAAACGAGCAAAAAGTTGGACGATGAATCAGACGCGAAAAAAACTCGTAAATCTTGGAGAACGCGCGTGAGAAATGGTATGATAGTAAAATCTAAGGGGAATAGAAATCTGCGGAGTAATAAGAGGGCAGCTGGACTCACTTTGAATGTGATAGACGAGGAAGAGGATGATCCGATGGATTCATTCGGCAAAGTAAGTCCGCAAAACGACGAGCAAGACAGCGATCGCGATGACGTAGCGGTCGAAAATATAGCGGAGCGGATTAAAAGAAGGAAAGAAAACATGGAAAAAGAAACGTCGAAACGAGAAATTGAATCCAATACATCTAAAAAAAGCAGAGCAGCAATGAAGAAGAAAACATTTTCTGAGAGGAGAGACGAGAGTTCCGCAACGGATCATGTTTCGTTCTCGACGGTCGAAGAAAGCGCGGAAGTGAATATCGAACATTCTGGGCCAAGAAGAACGAAGCGTAGGAAAATCAGCAGGACTTCTCAAAGCAATACGGAGGCTCTGGAGAGGATCGAGTTTTCTTCAGACACGAATGGTAAAGTGAATCTGAGGAAGTCTACGCGAAACTTGACGAAGGTCTCCAAGTCGAGCGATCACGTATCGGACGGGGCGCGCAACAAGAATAACAATAGGTTTAACTACGACTCGCCACCAGAGTCTTCTGACGAGACGGAGGAGTGCGTTCCGGAGAGCAACCACGTCGTCGGAACTTGCGTCAAGGAGCTGCCCTCGGACAAAGAAGCGATCGAGGAACAGCAACAGATCGAGCGATTGTTGCTGCAAGAGAAAGAGGATTTTGAATTGGCGCGCCGCTTACAGGCGCAGTTCGACGAGATGGAGCGAATAGCCGGACGTCCTAGACGTACGAGGAAGACTACCGAAAGCGAGAGAAGCATCGAGACTGACGCGACTGGAACTGTCTTCAAAACGAACGTCAAACGAAAACCGATCGTCGATTGTGCCGTGAGTACCGTAGTTAAGAGGAAACGCGGCAGACCACCGAAACGCATGAAAATCGCGACTGATGCGAGCGAAGATGAGACGCGTGCGCGATAATCGCACTTGATACGCGCAAAAAAATCCTCCGCACACAGCTGGATGTTCCTATAAGCCATATATAAAGGAAAATGGAGTTCGATTAAAACTTTTTGCGACTTTGTATAGTGTCTTACGTATTTTTAACGAGAGATCGTTTGCGTCATGTCGAATGCGTACCTGGATAACAATGCGAGAGTATAAATGCGCAGCGTATAAATGCAAATCTTTAAATTGTTACATTGTCGTTTTTTGGTGTCCACTCTATGGAACGTTAATACGCGCCTACGTGCCGTTTTTGTTCCTAATGTATCAATCGTGCACTTTTTTAAAATAAGGATAGAAAAAACGCGACTTATGCTCATATGCAATACATTTCCGGAATAATTGACCGAAATTTTAACAAGTTTTGTTCGATAGGATACTTCTGTGAAAAAGAATTCTGTTAACATTAAATTTACAGAAGCTTCCGGGACGCGTCTCGTATCTATTTTTATTAGTCCTCTTGACGAAATGAAATACCACATTATAATCAAAACGAAGAATGACAATATGCGAACGAGACATTGTTAAATTTGGTGACGAGAGCGAGAAGAATGAGGAATGCACGTCCGTAATTTCGACGATGATGAGATATGCGCACGAGATTAAAAAAGTGTAATTTTATACAGTGATTATAATTATTTTTTAAGAGAGCTTGTCCATTTAGGCTTAAGTCGCTACTCATTAGACACAGTCCATAACAATTATTATAGATATATGCAAGTTAATTAGCTTTTTTCTTGAAAGTTCGATTATATGCTGATATCTGGCTTCTTGGTAATTTTCTTCGTTTCCAAACAGAAAATAACCGCCAAAATCGCAGAGTGACAATCGCCGCGACGTGTATTGCTCAATTGAGGGCAAAGAAAGCGCTAGCTTTTATCATTACACGGTTTATAATGAAAACTTTCTATCGGAGTTGCTTTATCACGAGATAATACGTATTTATATATTTCTATATTTATCGTTCCCGTGGATACATAAATTAAAGTGAAGTCCGACTGAATCCACATTTCTTTCTTTATAGAACGAAGGGGACGGGAGGAATTATGTCAACTTTAATTATCTTTACCTAATGTTCACGCAAACTACTCTAATTAACATTTATATAACATTTGTTACATGACATTTGTATATCATTATCGAGAAAGGCAGATTCTCTGGCGAATATAATTGTGTATAACGTTAAAAGAGGAATTATATATGTTTGATAAGATGCGCTTGATATCGCAATTCTACTGTTAGCTTCGACGGCCTTGATTATCATACCGCAATTATCAAATAAATTGTTATATATTAAGCGTTATATTAAGAGATTTATGTAAATCTCGCGCGCGGACGGATTTTGCGTCAGGACTTGACGGATGCAGAGTTATCGAGAAATATAGTTCCTTCAACGGAGTTCCGTTTCCGATAGGCTAGAATTCTCTCTCGCCCGTACGTATTATCACCCTAATTACTATATATATTTATACTGTATATATATATATATATATATTTTACATACACATACATATGTACTTTTTTTAATGATTGGCTGATATATCGAATAATAAATTTGCGGGTCCTCGTTTTTTCGCGCCCTACTATTTGTGATACATAGTATTCAACATCCGAAAATCGTTCTTAATCTTCATCTTAATGCTGATAATTCTACGCGGCAGAGCCCGCACTCGTAAGAGCAACTCCTTCCGATAACGTGATTTAATGCATATGTTCTGGGGCGCGCCTCGTTTTTTTCGGACATTCGATAAACATATTGACTTTATTTCCAAAATTACTCCTATGAAATTCTCCGAACGGAATTAATCGGAAACATTTGTTATACACATTGTGGCTCGATTTAGACAAACAGAATCTTTTACATCTTTATTTAATTGTCGCGATAAAAGAGAGGTTCTTTGCTAAACGTGATTTTTAAATCATAATAGGTATTTTTATGTAATGATGACAACACAAGCGCAGATGATAGAAGGAAGCTATTCGGATACCTCTCTAATTATCTTAGACCTCGAAAGCGAAATGGTTTTAATTAGCTCGGATTTTTTTTTTCATAGAACAGTTAGAAAATAAAAAATGACGGTCTTTCATTTCGTGCTGCTCTATGACAAATCCGCGCGGAGCTTGCGAAACTCGAAGAGGCTTCCGAAAGTTTCCTTGTTAGCGCGGAATAAACCGGGAGCAACAAAGGAAACGCATAAAACGATTGCGGTGAGAGGATGCGTTTTTATCGCTCTCATCATCCTTCCATATATTCTTTTCTATTCGTGAGTTTATTTAATTGGAATATGTGTATTCGTTGTTAAAAAGATGTGCACGAAACATTCGTTATTCTCTGCTTGCCCAGAAACAGTCTTTCAATTATTTTTTTTTTTCTCTATGTAAATTTTAATTATAAATATGCACAGCGTATTTTGCATGAATACGTTTAATAATTAACATGTATAATACATATATGAATGATTGCGAGAAAGTGTAGTAACGCCGGTGGATATCGTTACAGAATCGCAGGACTATATTATAAACTAATCTAATGAGAATATATAATGTAAAAAAAAGGCGCATGGAATTTATATATGGAATTAAAGCTTAGAGAATGTATAGAGAAGATATTTAGATATAGAGAGCGACTTCTACAGGATAGTGTCGAATATTATTACGTATTGATAACAAATAAGTAGAGAGCATCGAGAGATTAAAGCAAGCGTATTCTATAACTCCGGACGAAACGGAGATACTCATTATGGATTTTTAGGAAGAGTCATTTTTATATTATACCACACATATATGGTTTCGCGATAGAAGATGTAGCAAGAGCAACGGGAAGCTTTCGCAAAATCGCGGTCGCACTATCCGTTCTTCTTGATACGTTTTATATGTGAAAATAAATAAATAGAGGACTGTAATTATTCTAAGAGTTATCTCTCTTCCTCTCTCTTGTGTCTATTTACGATAAGCCGAAAGATCTTCCGCTTTTGCGTAAAAAAAAAAAGTGGAAAGTATTATTGATTATGATTTATCATAAAGTCTTCTAAAGTAGTAATCTTTTTTCGTTAAATAATAAAAAAAAAAACTTTACATAAGTGCAATAAAAGTTTTTAAATAGGATATATTTATTAATAGTGTTTCTTTTTTAAATTAAAATTTCTTATAAGATGACAAGAGATTTAATAATTTTTCGTTACGGTGTGAAAAAAACGGAAAAAAATTTTTTACATTAATATTATCTTTGCAGAAATTAAAGGCATATAATATGACTCGAGTTTCTGCGAAAATTGTGATTATATATATAATAATTTTCGCTTGTCTTGTATTCCATGAAAAATTGTTATGCTATGATAATTCGGTCAAGGATATCATTGAGATAAATCCTTTCTTATGCAACGAGTCGTGTCGAGTTATAAGAATAGCATTGTAACAATGAAGAAAATCTTTGTCTATCCATGATACATGAAATTAAGCATACGGATATTCTGCAAGTTACGCAATATTCGAGGCAACTATGCGGTATTGTATTTTTAAAAATTTGATATTTATTTTTGTTATTAATATTTCCCATTAGAATTTCAATTTTTGTGAGAGTAAAATATTATCTCGCCATTGTCTCTTCAAACATAAAACTTATGATAAATAGATTTGGTACCAAATATATTTTTGATAATAGAAACAAGCAACTTGAGAATCCAAATATGTGAGATATATTTTTCTCGTGTACAGTATTTCTTATGACATTTTTTTAGAAAGGATCATGTCTCACGACTTTTGATAATGTGAAGCTTTACCCTCTATTTATAAAATCAGAAAAAAAAACAGAAACTGAAGAGGAAGAAGATAATTCTACTGTGTGACTGATCTAGTAGCAAATGATAATTTCATTATCTCTTCCACCGATGAAAGAAAAAAAGAACTTTTATGAGACATGATCGCCCGAAAGAAACAGAAAGGTATGTAACTTGCTCGTAATCATTGACGAGAGCAACAATTGCGACAGCTTGTGCTAACTCTCGTTGCGTCATCGTGAAATAGCAAACTAATGTATACTTTCTGTGTCCCACCTTATTTTTCCATAAACTTCATAGCGTCTGGTACCTTCGTGCGAGATTATGCAGTCTCTGAAAATAATTGCGTAAGTCTATTATTGTTCTCGTAACTTGATTATGTTCCTCCTAGACACGCCCACTAATTAGCGAATGAACGATTATATCGCGGAGTTTATCATCATTTTATCTGTCTCATGTGACATCTTGAGACTACTCTGTTACAAACTTGTTTACTTTGAAATGACATTTTGTATTTATTCCCAAAATACAATATACACGTAACGGCGACAGATACATAGAAAATATTAATTCGCGAATTTATATTAATTTATATGCTATTGCTATATTTATATTGCCATTGATTTTTATTTTACGTATGTAATCAATATATTATTAATTGCGAATATATTTTGAAAAATTCATTATGCAAAAATGAAAGGTTTGTGCGAATCAATTTTTTGTGGATATGTGGTTTTTTCGAGAAAAAGAGAAATATGTATAATTATATATAATATTATTAAAGATATATAATTATATATTTAGATATATATTCTAAATATAGTTTTCCTTAAAATTAATATGTAACATTCCATTATACATGATCATAATGTGTCTTTTATGTTTATTTTTATCAATATGAGTAAAGTCGCACAATTTTTTAACTACGGAATAATTGAAAAATTGTGTGTACATATTTGGAATCGCGGAACAATTTTTAATTTTTATATATTTTTGATTAAATATACACTTGATGATATACATTTTTGATTAGACATATAAAATACAGAAATAATGATTTAATTAACTCAAGATACGTAACGATAACGGGGTACAGCATCCAGAATACTTTTAGACAACTTTTATTTTTATTTACTTTTATTACTGTCATTAAATTATAATTAATTTAGAGAAGCATATATTGTTGTTACGTCTGTAACCAAGAGAGAAAAGAACAGCAAATTTTCATATGAGTTGCGCAATAAATTGCCGGATCGATGAGTCGCGCTATGAATAGTTAAATTCATATCTCATTCGATACACGAAGCCTATTTTAATAAGACAAACACAAATTCGTTACGCAAGCGAGGTTTTGCAGATCAATAACAACGTTCTACAGTACGATACTTTAAATCGAGTTACAAAATAGTTACGCAAAATATATAATTAAAATTATTTGTCAAGCGGATTAAGTGCGTGACAAAGAAATGCGTAACGTCGAATTATTCTATCTGCTATCCTATTATATAAGTAATATAATCAATAAATTAATAATTCATCCATCGATTGTTTTTATAATATCAAAGATCTACTGAATTAGATCTATTGAAAAATATTAAATCTTTCAAAAATTCGTCCAAAGAGAGAGAGAATTTACAGTTTCTAAAATATTTTCCCGTAGATGCGAGAATAAAGGAGCGAGCGGGCAGAAAGGGACATACTTTGGAGAAACCCCCGAATATGTATCTCCGAGGATTCTGGATAGGAAAATGCGAAGTAAAAAGTAGAAAACGAACGACGACCTCGAACAGAGAGGATGGGGGAAAGCGCTCGACGAGAGCGAGAGGTTGCACTCGACAGCCACGGCGACTGCAACGTGATCGCGGTACCACGTGACCCGCGCGGATACAACAGTCACGTTGCACTCGGCGTGGCTCGGTCTCCTCTGCATGCCTCTGCACGCTGCCCCCTCGTCCATCTGCCTTCTTCGACTATTGCGTTCGCATATGCGATCCACTGTTAGCACGGTGCGGTGCCGTTTTTCGTCGCGCCCGTTCCTCGTCCGTTTTCATAGTTGCAGTGAAATTAAAAAAGAAAAAAAATAAATGTGAAATCGGTGAAATCTTTCTCGTGATAGCCGTAAAATTAAAAAAAGAAAAAAAAATAGATGCGAAATCAGTGGAATCGCACACGCCAGTGGAACGATCGACTGTGAGTCTTATCTGTTATCGCGATGCTTCGGGAAATCGTGATCTGCGTCGCGCAATTCGCGTGTTATCGCGCGATTCACGAGCGTGCCAGTGAAACTCTTATGCACGCGAACTGTTAACGTTCTATTGTGTTGTTCATCATTTTTATAATTAAAAGAATTAATACCTTAATTCTATGTGACACACAAGGGGAATGCATTTGACGATACATCAACATTGATTACGACGACGTGGCTCATCGACGTAACGATTAACGAGTGTCGCGAATGTGAATTGTCGTCGTTGATTTAATTTAATTTAATTAAAAAAACTACGCAGTGAATTTTCAACTCGGTGACCTGGAACCGCGACGATGCGCGTTATCGATAGGACGATCAGCTGATGTATGTGAATCATCGTCAATTTAATTTCTCGAACATATTCTTAATTCGGGAACTGGTTGCGAGAGACTTTGCGCGATAATCACATTAGAAAAAAAATGCACGCTTTACAGCGAACTCGCTGTCCGCACCTTGCCGGCTGAGAAAGAGAGCTTTTTCCGCAACGATTCGTCGCTGCCACAAGTCGCTCTCCGGACTTATTGCAACGGACTGCAACGTCAGCTGGTATCTTTCTAATCCGGTGCGCTTTCACCAACTTCGATCAAAGTAAGAGAGAAAGTAATGCATGCGATGCGATACAGCGCGCTCGTAATCACTGACCACATTTGAACGACCAAAAACTTTGTGCGAGGACCTTCCTTTTCCGCATAATATAATTTAAAGGTCTTCTACATACACACACACACACACACGTGTATATATATTATGCGTGTACATTATTTAAATCTAATTCTGAATAAAAAAAAGGTGCAAATTTTATTTCTTTATAAATTTAATTTCCAGGAGTATCAATTGTTTGAAATTTAAAAAATTTTTCGCCTGCGGAAAATTAACAGCCAAAATCTAAAGAATTTTATAAATTTTTGTTTTGCGATTTTGACCAGATTAATTTAACACAACCAGATATACATGTTTAAAAATACTTTAATTTCAGTTCAAAGATATAATCAACTAATTGTAAGATGAATCAGTCAATCCGCAAAGCGTTGACAGAATGATCGGTGAATTATGTACACATGTAACGTATATAATTCATTAATGGCCATTCGCGAAATTAATATTCACGTCACTAGATATGATGCGGGAATGTCATTAAGAAGATTCTCGATTACTTACTAATTTCAGAATGATTAATTTTATCGATGTTGCGGAAACTTTGTTTTATCGATCCTCCCCCTTCCTTCTTTCCCCTACATTTATCGCACACGGCGAATTGATTTGAAATCAGAAACAGGTGTTCAGCCGTCTCCCCAAGGGTTAACTTACTGACTCGTCTATCCGACGAGTGGATACTTTCGAACGGAATGAATGTTTCCAACTTGGCCCCGACACTCTCGACCCTCTCGACCCTTATAAATTAACACTTACAGGAATTTGCCGAAATTCGTCGTGATACGCCTGCGGCGTTTTGTTACGGGAAATTAAATGCGAAATGCATATTTAGTCACTGTCATGTCGTTGCGGCTAAACTCGCTGATCCATCAAAGTACAATACGATAGTTTAGCTCTAGAAACGACGGTCGTGTCGAGTTTCCTCTCTCAGCATCGTATTCGATAACTCGACGAACATCTTCCCAGCTATGTCGGCGAACGACGTTAACGACGTTCTTGCGAACGTGCAAACCCAACGTGCTATATCTCTGAATAGATAAGCGAGTTTACGAGCGCGAATACTCGCGGAATACTCGCGTTCACAAAACGCACATGTGAAAATCTGATTTTGTTCGTTGGAATAAAACGTGAATATAATCGGTAGCGGAAAATGAATGGGCAATCGAAATCAATGGAAAAGTAAAAAAGAAAAACAACAAGCGGCGCGTTAAAATAAATAGGGGGCTAAACAAATTGTAAAATTTCGCGTTCATTTGCAAAAAATTATTTATTACGCGACAGCACGGGAGCGACGCCACAGGTGGTTGATAAAATTAGCGTAATAAATAGTACAGAAAATCCTGACTATATTAAATCCTTTGCGCTTATTTCGGGATAAAATTACTTCCTTTTTCCGCCGAGAATATCCAGGAAGTGGCTAATAATAAGCCATGAATTGCATTTGATCCATAGTTGTATAACTGTGTAGTTTAGAGATAGATACTTCGTATATACACGACGTTAATCGCTGCTATAATTAAATATCATCGACGATGATGATCTTATACAATACTGACGCTCCGTTATGTTTCCATATTTTCATATATCCAGGAAAAGAATAATCAATAATCTATTCGTTTCCGAGAGGTCAAGTTTCTATTAAATGAAAAATTTTTTTCACAAATCTGATATTTTCTTAAGCGCTTCGAGAAATTTATTAAAAAATATTATGACTATAAATTTGACCCCCCTCGATTATAAAATGAAAAATTTATTATCGATTTTTGTACAATGAAAACATCTTAATAAATACCTTTGATACTCCATCAATATCTTTAGATCTTATTTGATCGATCAAACTTTTTCTGACACATTTAAGAGGAACTCTAGAACTCTAGAGAAATATGTCAAAAATTGAATATTATTTTTACATGGGTAAAATGCTCTCAGCCATTGCAACGACTAGCTCGCGTCCATATCCTTCCGGTCCTCTCGAATTTCTGCACAGTATCCTCTGCTGCGGTCAGCAAGAAGGAAACTGCAGATGCTGTTTTATCAATGTTATCATGTATATTCCGCTTACATCATACTCTAGACCGAAGATTAGAAGGACGATTATGTCAACGCGTTTGCGTCACGACAGACGTAATGTAGTATGTTTTTTCCTTATTTATACGAACACCTCGGTTTTTTATTTTTCTCGCTCGCATCCGCGATCGTTGATTCGCGATATTAAACGCGTAATCAACTTTTTTGACTCTAAGAAGCTGCATACTTAACGTCAAAGTGCGTTTTCGTGTTTTAGCCATCAAGAATATCATAAAAGGATACACCTTTGTGTTGTTCTCGCTGAGTCTGGAATAATTAACGCGATGCAACGGCACAAATGCAATGATGAAATTTATCCTCGCAGTGGAATATACTCCAAAACTATGCTCTCTTAAAATTATATAAACCTGAGTTCATTTTACTATAACGTACACAAATATTTAAAGCGGTGTGCTCTTTTGGCCAGAATCATTGCCTCTCGAGAGATTGAAGTTAATTCTGCGACGCAGTCGCGAAACGAATCTCCTGCATTCTAATCGTATGTGCGTCGGGATCAAAGTTTCTCTTCTGCGTGGCTTTTCGTCGAAAATGAATTTCGTCGAGAAACTATTGCGACCCTGCGTGAACCGGCGATCGTACCATCTGCAAACACGATCGAAGCAACGAGCGATGATCGCGTTGGCGTATCGGTTTTATTGCTAGAAGTTTCTCAGGGCAAGTTGGTGGAAGAACAAGAGGATAATTCCATTAAGGAACGATAAATTTCGATTATATTGCCCCGTGGTGAAACGTGTAGTCATAATACAATATCGGACTTTAAGGAGAGTTAAGATGGACGAGTCGGAACGTCGATGTATTTCGTAATCGGTGATAATATATTATATTAATAAGGGGTAAAAGTCGAATTGTTTATAACGGTCCGTAAAATAATTCCTAATTCATAGTAGAATTGCCAATAATAAATCATTCTGCAATAATGCAGATCGAGCGCTGAACGGGTTTGCATTTCGGTCATCCAGTAGATACAAACGAAACGAGACAGATGAGCGTCGAGTCACATTTTGCTATCAAGTTTTCAAACGTGTACAGTCGCTATTTTCCGGCGAGCTTGCTTTACGAGAGCAAATGAAAAATTCGCGTAAATTCAATTCAGTGGTTCTGCCCCTCCGTAATTTGTTAAAGACACCCCCAAAATACTATCGATGCACGTCGATATATACGTATATATGCATCCCGTGTACGAGTCCCTTTGCGGTTTATATACGTGTATATGTGTGTATCAGAGGCGGAATGAATTCCGCAATAAATTACTGCAAAATGCGCGTTGATCCCCCCGGCTCATGAATAACGTGCCAAAAGATAGCCCTCGTACGTCTGAGGGCTAATCTCTCGAGCGGTTTCGCTACCGTTGCTGGAAAACGAGAGACACACACGGAGCTCGCAACGGGATGCAGCGCAGTAGCGTAACCAACATTCAGGTCACCCCTTTCCTCCACCCCTCCCTGTCCCCCGTCAACAGGGAAACTTCAAAGGATCGATCTTGATTATCTTGCTCCGCTGACGGCGTTTGCCCCGGAATAATAAATTGTTTTATCTTTACCTCTTTGTCTCTCTCTTCCTCTCTACACGTGCTGACATTAATAATAATTAACGATTAATAACGAAAAAAAATATATATTAAAATCTTCACGAAAGTATATAAATTATTTTTTTCTAAAAATTAAGAGAGAGAGAGAGAGAGAGACAATACCACTAGATATAAAGTCAACGTTCCGTTTATGGAGAGCACATTTCTATTTATGTCGGCCCATTAGTTACGCCACTGACACAACGGATATAAACGTGCCCGCGGGATAAAATTAATGCACCCGTGTCGTTCTATCTCTACGGTTGCCAGGGAAATCAACCACGACCACCGTGTATCGTGGGGGGGGGCGGTCCCGTCTGAGATTTCGTTCCCTATGTTCGATCTCGCGAGATACGGCGATCGCGCAGCCAGAGATTTTTCTCGACACCGGAAGCAACGACCGATTACGTTTGTCTTGCGAAAGAATAATCTCCCATCTGTGTAATAATAAATCGACTTTATCTGGAGAAAGAGAGAGAGAGAGAGAGAGAGAGAGAGAGTCTGCGCAAATGCAATTGCAAAATGTAACATTTTATATCTTCACGAAGGCTAAATAGATCGAAAAGAATTCATTTCCGTAAAACTGAGCGTTTGATTTCCCAAATCGGTGATTTTCTTATAAATTTCTTTGTTTCCCGTTGTTTTTTGCGCTTAACGCGTAATTGAAAAAAGCCAGATTTCTCGAAAAAGCAAATTTTACACGTCTTAAGTAAATTTTGATCTCGAAGTAACGCGCTCGCGTATAATGGATATGCTAATTTTGCCAACAATAAAGTTCGCGACATCGCATGAATCATCGCATCGCGACAAAACCACATTGTTGCGATAGTTTCGCGATAGCGCGTAGCATGCAGAACTGTATGCCGTGAGTACAAAAGTATGATGTGCCAAGGATTTGTTGGAAAATTACGTTATCAAAACTTCCTTCATTAAGTGATAAAAAAAAGCTCCTAATCGATCGTATCATTACTAAAATAAGTTTGTGTTCCTTCGCTCGTTTCGAAGGAAAATTTACTTATTGTCGATTAAAAAACAACAACTCTTAATCTGAGAGAAGAAAAGCAAAATCACTGTACAAATAAAAGAAAAATATTATTATAAATAAAAGAAATATTTTAGATATAATAAATAATAATTGGAAATTTGTGTATTTCGACTATAGTGACGCGAAAATCGACGAGAAAATATAAAAAATATAGAAATTTTTCTGATACGATCGAGAGATAATGAAAACGATCTTTTCAAAATACTAATAATCGTTCTCGTCCCCGCGGACGGCGAGATGTCAAATCGGGGTAGGTCAATCAAGACATCGCCTTTTGGAGGGTGTCCTACAGGAGTATATCCGGCGACATCTAAGAAAATCGAATTTTCCGCACGACGCGTAATCAGGACCGAACAGGAAGCTTTCGACCGCAAGGTCGAGCCGACTCTTATTTTTTCGGCTTAGCAGCGAAAGGGAAGACGGACCCTTTAACGCACGTTACGGACGAAAAACGATTGAAGATACAGTTGTAAGGGCTCCCACGGGGATTGATTCGCGCCTCGTCGTACTTTCTTTTGGGCTTCGAAAGAGCACCGTCTCGTCAGGTTCTTCTCGAGATGATGATAGCGCGAGGGAATTCAAGATATGCGCTTTTCGCACTGATCTGCCGTATAATCGAGAGGAAATCTTGTAGCAAAAAGAATCGAACAAATTCGCTTTTTAAATTTTAAGTTCCCTAGGAGAGAGGGATACATCTTCGAAAAATTTTTTTTATGTATGTTAGAAACTTATTGAGGCAGGAAGATTGTATTAAATATACAATGGCAGATCAAATCTTGAAGATATAATTGATTCTAATAGAAATTTATTAGCATTGCGGTTAATATCGGACAGGATCATTTTTAAGGAAATTTTAAATAATCGGAGTGTCGAGATTAAAAAGAAATAATTGTATCGCGAGAGTAATTCGGCAGTTAATATCTGAAAAAATTCGCATGCTATTCCTAAAACATCCTGTACAAACATCCCGTCATTTTACTGCAATAATCCATCGCGAATGGAATTTTTCCATTGTGTTGAATAAACTAATTAAGAAAGTTCGTTTCTCGAAGGGTGTGCTGAGGAAAGATGACGGGAAGTAATAACAACGAAATGGACCAGGGGGTGACATCGGGCGTCCGGGGCGACGGTAGAAAGCATACGGTTCATTGGTTTCGTAAGGGACTCCGGCTGCATGATAACCCTTCGTTGAGGGAAGGTCTCGCGGGGGCGTCCACTTTCCGGTGCGTCTTCGTGCTGGACCCCTGGTTCGCCGGAAGCACCAACGTCGGCATCAATAAATGGAGGTGAGCGACCGTCGATATATCTCGCGGACTCGAGTGAGATCGATACAATAGCTTCCGCAAAAGGTAGAAAATAATACGACCGTACGTCAAGCGCATATCATTTTGTTGAAACACACATAGTGGATAAAAATCTTTCTACGTAGATTTGCCTTATTCTCGATTTTAATCTCTTGTTGCAAAAAAAAAAAAAAAATTGGATATTTGGATATTAAATAGGTGACGTCATGCAAATGATCATGTCAATGATACACATACAGAGTTGTTTTTTTTTCCTATCCGGCTTCTTTGGATTTAAATGGATATAATGTTACGACGATCGAGAGTGACAACTGTTTAATTCATCGATAATGGCGACAGCCGAGGTTGTGTTCAACACAAACGGCGCAGTAGATCTTCGTTGCATCGTACAATCTCGTTGCATTACTGCGACGAACGTTCATACAAGCACGACTCTCTCATCGTCCATCATTTGTCATGTTGATTAAGCATTATGTAACTGTTTCCTAAGCGATCGTACGGTTAGATGCTGTCGATAATCCTACTGAATCACGGTTGACTGAGGGGACATTAGCGATGGCAAAAATAAATCAACAACGGCGAGACATGTTTATGTTACGCTTTTATAACATCTCAATTACTATGTAAGGTCAAATTGTAAACATCGCGCGGACGTTTTATAAAATATCATTTTACGCTTTTACTTCAGCGACAGTGCTTTGATATTTTTCTTTATGAAGTTAATTAAAAAATAGTATATCGATTTATCAAAAATTTGTTATGATATAAATTGCAATACTATCTCTGTTTTTATAAAATTATAATATTTTATAAAATTAATTTTTATAAAATTAAATTTCATAAAATTAGTTTTTATAAAATATTGGCTATCATAGCAATTGCATTATCTGCATTTAAGCACGTCAATTTTTTGTGCGGCATTCGTCCGATGCAGGTTCCTGCTGCAATGTCTGGAAGATCTAGACTGTTCCCTAAGGAAACTGAATTCCCGTCTGTTTGTGATCCGCGGCCAACCGGCCGACGCACTTCCCAAGCTCTTCAAGGAATGGGGCACGACAAATCTGACCTTCGAAGAGGATCCGGAGCCATTCGGCGGCGTGCGAGATCACAACATCTCGGCACTCTGTAAAGAGATTGGTATCTCGGTGGTCCAGAAAGTCTCGCACACTCTCTACAAACTGGACGAGTGAGTCCGAAAATACCTATCCATACCGATTAATTTAGCGATGAATTAACAAGATGAATTATTAATAAATTATTTAATTAATGTTAATAAATAAAGGAAATTTGCGTTTAATTAAATCGCGTTCAGCGCAATCAGCCTAAAAAATTGTAATTAAAATGTAAATCAAGAATTGCAAGAATTATATCCTGTAACCCCCTTTCCTATTGATATTATTTAACAAGACGTTTATACGAGAAGAGAGAAGAAATATTAACATTTTAAAATCTAAATCGAAAGAGAAACTTTTTAGCATATATATTCATTGGGATTATATATGTCTTGCCATTATTCTCAAGTTATTTCGCGACTGAACCTTCTCTCTACGTCGCGCGTTTCAGGATCATAGAGAGAAATAATGGGAAACCGCCGTTGACCTATCATCAATTTCAAAACGTCGTCGCTGGCATGGACCCGCCGGAACCGCCAGTACCAACGGTAACCGCCGCCTGCATCGGTAGTGCCTATACCCCTCTCAAGGACGACCACGACGATCATTACGGCGTGCCCACCCTCGAGGAACTCGGTTAGAAAAAAATCTATATGTCCGAAAGTATTAAGGTTAAAGTCTTAATTTCAGAATTAATTTATCTCGTTCAATAATATATCATAAATCATTGAAATGATAATTCATCGTTAATTACGAATCATGAAGAGAGCCTCGAAATTTTAACTGCAGCTCTTTTTTAACATCCTTAAAAATAAGGAAAAATTACTTTGAAAAACGTCGGTTTCATATTGATCCAAGACCGGTTATTATAACTCGAGTGTCTCGGATATCGTTTACTCTAATTAAAATTAGAAGCGCGAAAGAGATGTCAAATCGCTTGAAATGAAAATACTCGACCGTTGTTTCGGCTGTAATTAGGCAGTAATGTGCGATATGCATTTCGATATTCCGGGCTAGGTGTTATACGGATTAACACGAGTTTATCGCACTTGTCATGGAAAATTCACTCGCGGTAGATTAGCCCCTGCAATATTAATGCCCGCCGTGTGTAAGGGAGCAATCAGGTGTTATCTCGTGTAACGTGAATTCATTTCGTCCCGATAGCGCCTATTACAATCCGTCGATGTTTCGCACCATTTTTCGCGGCTCATTCCGCGAAAAGAGATTCGATCGATTACTAATTATTGTTTTTATTATTAAATGTCACCAACGTTTTGAAGTTCTCTTCCGGCATTGCGCAACAGCTTATTACCGTTGACTTATAGCCGGTATTGTCCCTGTGTTATCCTCACTTTCAAATGTCTCACTCTTCTCTCTCATTTCGCTTTTTTTCTCTCTCTCATTGTTATCAAATGTCAACGCATATCCCGAAGACTTCCAATTCTTTTCCTGCGATTCTTCAACAAATAAAAATAAGATCTTTGCCTTAACGTTGCGTTGTGGATGTTTTCCACAACAGTCTATCACTAAGATTAAAGTCGTGGATATCTAAAAAGATATCTAAAAGATATCTAAAAGATATCTAAAAAGATATCCACGATAATTTAATCTTAGTGATAGACTCTTTGGTCATTTTTACCCCTAACTCGATATCTTTTTTTTTTTGTATCCCTCCTGATTATTCCTCTGTGGTTATAGGGTTTGACACGGAAGGCCTGCTACCCCCCGTGTGGGTCGGTGGCGAAAGCGAGGCCCTGGCTCGGCTCGAACGTCATCTCGAGAGGAAGGCGTGGGTGGCGAGCTTCGGCAGGCCAAAAATGACACCGCAGTCCTTATTGCCGAGTCAAACCGGCCTTTCGCCTTATCTGCGATTCGGGTGCCTCAGCACGCGACTCTTTTATTACCAGCTCACCGATTTGTATAAAAAGGTACGAGACGACCGCAATCCGATCGCTATAAGTCGCCGATAACACCCTTGCAATGCATCGATACGCGATGTCGAGCACATTGGGATAATTTTTTTCCGGCGCGAGGGTCTTCGCTTCCCTCTCCTCGGTAATAATTAAGTGGAATTTTAAAAACGTATTAATTACAGCGCGAGATTTTTTTATTTCTATGAAAGTTTCTTAGCTAGTGTTACACGTTAGCGAAAGTTTTTATTGATTCCTGCCTGTTTCTCATTCTTAAAATGAGGATATCGCTCTTATCTGAACGACATTGCGTATATATTTTCCAGTTTTCATCTTGAGAAGCGAATGAGTCCTTAAAATTTTCCGTCAACGATACTATTTCAGATAAAGAAGGCTGTGCCACCGCTGTCGTTACACGGGCAGCTGCTCTGGCGCGAGTTCTTTTACTGCGCCGCGACAAAGAACCCCAATTTCGACCGCATGCAGGGTAACCCGATTTGCGTGCAGATACCGTGGGACAAGAACATCGAGGCGCTCGCAAAGTGGGCGAACGTGAGTGAATTTTGAGCGCAATCACGGACGAAAACTGCATCATCTGCGCAAGCGGACTTCAGTCGCGATTTTTCTCGGCCAACGCGAATAACGAATATTTTCTCTCAACGCGATCAAGTAAAAGATCTTCGAAATAATTCATAAAAAAATGTCATTTTGTTATTAACGTTTTCGTAGACTTTCGTATCCGGGAAGGGAAAAATTGCCACGCACGATTTCGGAGACTTTACGGCCGAAGTAAAATTTTTTTTTCACGCCAGGGTCAGACGGGATTTCCGTGGATCGACGCGATCATGACTCAACTGCGCGAGGAGGGCTGGATACATCATCTGGCCAGACATGCGGTTGCTTGTTTCTTGACCAGGGGCGACCTTTGGATCTCATGGGAGGAAGGAATGAAGGTAAAATGTCGCGGCGTGCCTGGCATTTTGATCGCCTCGCGCGGCGTTCATTTTATCTGTTTGCTCTTGTTATTAACATGATCTTTTTCGTAATATCGTTGCGAGATTCTTTTCTCGAAAGTACGTGAAATGCATCTGCTAATATAATCCCGAATTTGTAAAAAATATAATCCCGAATAAAAAAATTTAATTAATTAATTAATCGTGATTGATACAAATAAATCATGGTTTACTTTATTCGCCGAATATACTACTTGATGAAATTAAATTACACTATTAAATTATGATATATTATTAATATTAAATAATAGTGAAATATTTATGTGTTTGGCAATTTGCGTTAACTTTAATTATTTCATATTGAATTTGATGTAATTTAAGGTGTTCGATGAGCTACTCTTGGACGCCGACTGGTCTGTCAATGCCGGCATGTGGATGTGGCTGTCATGCAGCTCATTCTTCCAACAATTTTTCCACTGCTACTGTCCTGTGCGATTCGGCAGGAAGGCGGATCCGAACGGCGATTATATCAGGTGATAAATCGCGCAATTAAGATTATAAAATATTTTCTATTTTTTTTTTTTTTTTAAATAAGAAGCGACTGTCAAATAATTTCGAAAAAATCTCGATGAGCGCGTTTATGTATCTCTTATGTTCCTCGTTGAAAAATAACGTTTACGCTAACGATCGCGTGTGTATACGATAATATCGGAGCAGTGATTATTAACATTCACGCGATAGCCGGACTAATGGAAATTTTAATCTTGATTGATCTTAATTTCTAACGCATCGAGCGTGAATCCGTGCGAGAAGCAGAATTTAGTAGCAAAATAGATGAAACGTTAAATAGCTTAGTTCCATTAGAGCTTAATCGTGGCAAATCATCGGCGATGACAATGTCCGATTATCAGATTATTAATGCTTTTACGAAATAACGTTATTATACATTTTACGAGAGTACGAAGAGCGCAAACAAAGTATAAATTATTCGCATTTACTTCCGCTATTAATTTTTCTGTAAATAATTTTGCACGTGCGTGGAGAGAATCGTTACCATCTCCCTCGATAAAATCGATCTTACTTATATTGTTGCGCTATTAGACGCTATCTGCCGGTGCTGAAGAACTTTCCGACCCGGTACATCCACGAACCGTGGAACGCGCCGCTCAGCATACAACACGCCGCTAAATGTGTCATCGGCAAGGAGTACTCCCTGCCGATGGTGAATCACAACAAGACCTCGCGCATCAACATCGAGCGGATGAAGCAGGTGTACCAGCAGCTGAATAAGTACCGCGATAACGGTGAGTAAGGATCGACAATTCTCTGCGCACGAAACTGCAGTTCTTTTTCTGATAAAGTGATAAGGAAAGGGTATCTCAAGTCTCACATCAATTGGACTGTAAATAATTTTGCACGTGCGTGGAGAGAATCGTTACCATCTCCCTCGATAAAATCGATCTTACTTATATTGTTGCGCTATTAGACGCTATCTGCCGGTGCTGAAGAACTTTCCGACCCGGTACATCCACGAACCGTGGAACGCGCCGCTCAGCATACAACACGCCGCTAAATGTGTCATCGGCAAGGAGTACTCCCTGCCGATGGTGAATCACAACAAGACCTCGCGCATCAACATCGAGCGGATGAAGCAGGTGTACCAGCAGCTGAATAAGTACCGCGATAACGGTGAGTAAGGATCGACAATTCTCTGCGCACGAAACTGCAGTTCTTTTTCTGATAAAGTGATAAGGAAAGGGTATCTCAAGTCTCACATCAATTGGATTTTTTTTTTTTTACGAGAAGAAAATAGCGTTGATTTTTAGACAGTCGAATTTTCGAACGCGAATTTTTTTTAGCGAAAATCTTGAATCGAACTTCTATGACGACGGTATTTTAATCGAGATTTCTTTTTGTTAGGAGTTTCGTTCAAAGGAGAAAAGATCGGTGAGTAAACTGATTTTAATAATTAAATAATAATTAATCGAGCTGTAACATACTTTGTGTAATAAAGTACTTCGCGTAAAGTTACGTTAATAATATTGATGCAAGGCTTGCTGAACGCATTGTTGGCGCCGACGAAGGAGACCGACGAGGAAAAGAGGAAGCAGGACTCGCCGAATCAAGAGAACGAGCAGAAAATGGAAACTATTAGTAATTCTCCGCAACAACAGCAATAGCATCAATAGCGATAACTGATAATAATAATTTAATAAATACGTTAATGTGTTATGTGATAACGTTGACGCTGTCCCTTTTGTGGATTTTACTAAATGCGTCAGAAAACTGAAACTTTCCAATTATATTTATATTTGTTTGATTAACCCTTAATTAGCTCCGAGAAGACGAGGCGTTAATTACATTTGACTTTAATTTAGTAACTTTTCTATTTTAACTTGCCCTCATTCCAATACCGCCTATAATTTAATGTCATATAAATTCAATGAAAATTCAATATTTATAAAAATTATACACATGTCTAATATATGAATGAAATATATTAATTTTAATAATTATACTTTTTGATTATATTCCGGGCGATAATTTTTAAGAGTTAATCATAAGATCAAGACACATCTCATGAAGCGCATGTATCTAAAAAGGGACACTGCATTATTTTTTTGATACCCATAAAAAGAAAGAAATAAATGTTTTAGCAGCGAGCAGATTTAAAACACTTGCAGATAAAACATCTTGCATTTTGCTACATGTAATTGTGCAACGATATCCCTCTCGCGCGATATATTATTGATCAACAACCGTGCCATTTTGACTTTTTATGGTTGCGAACGATGGTTGTAAATATCGAATGCACATACGTTGTATAAAAGATACTTTTCATGTAAATGTCTCATCGAAATGTCACTTACCTTCCTCTCCGCGGATCTCCAAGGCGTCATTTCCCTAAGTGCCGCGTATTCCCGATGCAACTCGATAACTGAATAACTCTCTCTCTTTCTCTCTCTCTCTCTCTCTTTCTTGAATAAACGACGAAAAATAGAAAAGTAGATTGCCACGTTAGTCACGAGCGCTGGAATAAACTTCGATCAACTTGACAAGACGAACATTTAATGGTCTTCTATCATATTTGCGATTTAATGGTACTTCATCATCATCATCAGAGACCTCTGATGCATAACGGAGATCCGTCTCTTTCTCTCTTGTTTTTGCTACAAAAAATCGATAATATGTTTGTCGCCTATATCGTATATATATGTATATATATATCACTATGCCCGCGTGGCTTAATGCTAGACTGAAGCTCGTCATTCGACATTCGCTTAAATGAGATGCGCGATCTCGTCTCACGCGATGGTGTGCATACTCCCATAACAGCGGCAACGCTAACACTGACTTCTCATCATTTTATAAACCGCGGCTTCGTTATCATATATGTATATAGAAAGCGAAAGAGAGAGAGAGAGAGAGAGAGAGAGAAAAATGAAAAAAAAAAAAAAAGGAAAACAGAATTTGTACCTGCACGCAATATGCGTTACAATTGCAATTACGCGCGTATATAATAAAATGCAAATACGCAATACGCCACGCGCGCGGATAGAACTCACACAGTCGGTTTTTTTTTTATTTTTTCATGTCAACAAATGATATATTTTTAGTGCCTATAGTACTTATAGTTTTACAGTACATTTCTCATTAGATTTAAACAATTACAAATGAACATTCTCAACACTCAAAAACGGAACTAATATCTCTCTCACACGCACTCTTTTAATTCTTTCTTTTTTTCACGCATTTACGCTCGCGTTTTCTCTTTTTCTCGTTCGCTCTCTTACTCTCTTTCTCTCACTCTTTCTCTCTTCCTTTCGCGCGATCTTTCTCTCATTAACTTATTTTTGTTTGTGTTTTTTTTTTTCATGTGTGCCTTACAAACGCTTATATATTTGGTTGTGTGTCCTCCCCCTTGCGATAAAAGATCAAAGTTTTTTTTTTTTCTTCTTTGCGAGCTTCGTGGTCGCAGTAATAAATCTCCATACTTCTCTAATAATAATCGGGACAATATTTAATTGTAATCGTTAATAATAATTAATCGTGTGTTATTATTCGTCTCATACAGTAGTAGTAACATCATCGTCACTCGGCATT